ATCAGTAATAAAAGAAGTATGTTCTTCATCAGGCTGGTACATCAGGATCTGGTTATATCCCGAGTATGCATCCATAAAGCTATGTAGTGAGTTTCCCACTGTCTCATCTACTAGTTGGTCGATCTGTAGTAGCGAAAAACTGTCTTTTGGACAGGCCTTGTTTAAATCTGTGAAGTCGATGCAAGTCTGCCACTTGCCATTCGACTTCTTGATTAGGACTCGGTTGGCAAGCTAGTCCGGGTACTTGACTTCCTTGATGAATTTGATTTCTGGGGGTTTGTCGACTTCATCCTTGAGCACTTGAGAGTGCTCTGCATCCATAGCCCTTCTTTTCTACCTTGTGGGTCGAGCCTGTGGGTCGAGGTTCAACCTGTGGCACATCACCTTGGGGCTGATCCCAACCATATCCACGTGCACCCATGCGAATACGTCGAGGTTCCTCTTCAAGAACCCCACCAGATTACTAGCTATTTCTCTAGTCAAGTTGTTACCGATTTTCAACACGCGAGTTGGATCTTCCTCGCTGACACTTATTTCTAGTAGCTCTTCAGTCGGTCCCACTACGAGCTTTTCTTTGTAGATGCGAGGATCTATAGTGTCTACTAGTGACCCAGGGTTCGGCTTGGATTCTGCGATGATCATTGTCTTTGGGTGCAGCCATTTTTGTGCCGCGTTTATAACCTGATTATAGCATTCTTGAGATTCTTTGGTGTAGCTCCTGATCGTCGCGACTCTTTTGATAGTCAGAAATCTCATCACTTAGCAGCGCACTGATGTGACTACGCTTAAATCATCCAAGACTGGCCTTCCAAGGATGACGTTGTATGTGATCGGGTAGTCCACCATTAAGAATTCGACCATCACTGTTTTAACCTTTAGTTCTACCTCTAAGTTACGGGAAGGTCGATAGTACCTTTGGGAACCAGGCTATCCCCGATGAACCCATTGAGTGGCGAAAGGCACACTCACAGGTTCCTTTATGTGAATCTCACTCCTCGGAAGGCTCCCAAGAAAATAATGTTTGTCGCGCTCACGTTGTCGACCATAACCCTTAACACTCTTGCATTGCCAATCCTGGCCACGATTACAATCGTGACATGATTATAACGTGGGCATGTTTCGCACTCATCAACTGTGAATCTCACTACCTCGCTTTCCTGTTTGGGCCGCTTGAGTGGCTTCCTCTCGTAGCTCATTATTCGGGGGACCAAGTCTGTCCTTGCTTCCCGAACATACTGCTCGCGAGCCCGTCTCGAGCTCCCTGTTATGTCGGTCCCTTTGTAGATCATATTCATGAAAACTTCATCGGGATTTGGTTAAGCCTGTTGAGCTGGAACCTGAACCTGTCCTGGGGCCTGACTACTTTGCTCGCCAGGGTTTTCACGAGTCGGTTCTACCTTAACAAATTCTTTCAGGTGGCCTCTTCTTATCAGGTCTTCGATGGAGTCTTTCAAGGCTCAACAATCATTCGTGTTGTGCCCGACATCTTTGTGGTACCAACAATATTTTTGCCGATCTCTTCTGCCTAGAGGCCCCCTTATCCTTTCTAGAGTAGACAGTCTATTCCCCTCTCGGGACACTTCGTAGATGTAAGCGATGTCTTAAGTGAAAATTGTGTATTCTGCATACCGCGGGAAAGGTTGTTGTCACCATAGTTATCTATCATTTGTTTCTTCGGGGACCTGTTGCGATCCCTGTTGTTGCGATCTTGATCCCCACGCTTATTTGAGAGGCGATTTTGTCTCTTGTCCGAACCCTCCATGTTGATCTTCTAGCTAGCGCTGCCAGCGAGCTCTCTACTCGCTGGTATTTCACGGCCATCTGGTAGAATTTGGCCAGGCTTACATGATCTTCACTCTAGAGCTCTTTCCACAGCTCTGTGTTAGGTTTGATCCCTACGATCAGCAAAGTTTGAATGGATTCTTCGGGGGCGTCAGCGACTTTTGTCTGCTCGTTCTTGAACCTTGTTAAATACGAGGTCAGTGATTCGTCTCGCTCTTGGCGAATGTTGCTCAAGTAGCTAAGTGGCATCGCAAACTACCTCCTCCCCTGAAATTACTGTAAGTACAGTGAGGAGAATTGTTGCTAGGAGTTGATGGAGTTCGCCTTGAGCCTTTTGTACTACCTCTTGGCATTTCTAACTAATGTGACTGCGAAACACCGGCATTTCACTAAGTCATTGACCTGGTGTAGCTCCATCAGGTCATTGAAGTTGTCAACGTGGTCTCTACGGTCTCCTTTCCCATTGAACTTGTTTTCTGGTGCCCTGAACCCTTGTAGGAGCGAGGCCTGAAAAACTTCTTTTGTAAAGGGGGAACTTATTACTTCCTCTGCATGCGATCTAAGTCTTCATTTTGGTTGCCCTGGCAGGTTCTGTTAAGCCTCACCTCGAGCATATGAGTCCGCAAGTCGATTGCTTGCGAAGCTCCTCCTGCGTGCACATTGATGCATGAGGTTGAGTCATGATGGCTGGATTGATATGTGCTATCATACTCGTCAGTGCGTTGCTTGCAACATCGGTCATTGCCAGATTGATGCACATAACTCGCTTCGTGAGCCTGTAAAGATCAATCTTGCCTTGGGTGTGGGTTAAAACCGGCAAGTTGACGTTAGGGATACCGTCGAGCTTCTCGGTGGTGCTCGTCGCCTTCGCTTTGCCTCAGCGATTGCTTCCCCGGTCGCCTCTGGGGGTTTGTTTGCCCGCGAGATTCACGCTCGTGCGTGAAGTGCTGCCTGCGAGGTTGGAGGTGTTGATCGCCCCTTGCCGGTGACGAAACAGACTGTCCACCTACAGAATTCATACTTGTTAGGATTGCGTTGGCGAAACGTGGCTGGTCGTGGTTCTCGGCAACTAGTTGTTGGTTCTTCAGCTCAGCCATGTTCTGTTACACCGTCTGTGCAACCACTGTCCCAATCATCTCCATTACTTGGTCATTCTCGAGGGCTGATGTCCCTGCCCCCTGGTTGCTCGTAGTGTGCTGAGTTGCGGCACAGGTGATCGACGTCCAACATTCTCCTGTTGCACCTCCTAGTGGATGGTTTCCACGTTCTCATGATTTCTGGTGGTAGTTTTTGATCTGGTGTACACCACCTTGGTCTTAGAACAAATAAATTGCAGTGAACGTTTGCCAGAATCTTTGAAATATTGGCGGAAGGCCCTCCATCTAGTGCCAAAATGTTGACGCAGAATTTTGCACCAACTAGCATGATCCAATCGACCTTGCCGGGATCGGAACCGAGTGTGGGAATCGAGTGTGCGTGATTAGTGAAAATTAACGATGAATATTAATGAAATGAATTAAGAACAAAGAGATTTTTAAAGTGGTTCGGCCAGGTTAACAGCCTACGTCCACTATGTTTTTGTATTTGTTGTGAGAGCTTACAATGCAATTTTTTTATCTAAAATTCGTAACCCCCTCCTCATTGTCTGAGAGGGTTTATATACAAGATTGGTACAAAGGAAAAAATGAAATTTAGGGGATTACAATTGATTCGAATCATAATTATGATATCCTCGCCACTGGGCGCTGTGATTGCGCAGTGATTACTATTGATCCAGTCATTCTCGTAATATCTGGGATCTGAAGTAATCTGGGGATTGATTGAATGATTCCTTGAATTGTTTGCGACTAGCTTATGCTGGGTCGAGCCATAGCTCAACAAGCATATGCTGGGTCGATCAATCATATTTGACAAACTCATTCTAGGTCGAGCTATATCCTCGAGTTGGCCCGAGCTTGGCAGAAAAATCACACACAACAACATTAATAAGAATATACACCATAATAAAAATATGTGTGTATGTGTGTGTGTGTGTTTTGGATAATTAATAATTTTATAACGAATAAAGAATGACATTAACTGGGAAAACCCTAAGCTCTACAACTCGCATGTCAAAGCACACGAGGTAAAGAAGTAGAAAACCTAGCTAGAAGGCGAGGATTTACAATCTTTTACGAGCAACTCAACCCAAAGCAGGTCAAAAGCAAGGGGAGCCAGATCAGAGCCAAAAACAAAGCAAAAACCAGAAAAGAAACACCACCACCATCTGCACAGAGGATCAGCAAAGAACCAGTTAAGAGCTTATATATATACACACACACACACACACACACACACACACACATTAGAATAAAGCACCTCTTCTAATGCAATATGACGTTGGGAGAGGTGATTTATCTTTTTCGACAAAAATTATAATTGGAGTAGTCTTTAGGCACTACGATACAATCTTAATGTCAGTCATGTACTTTGTCCTCAACATCAATGTGATTCTGGTTGGATATAATTTTAACGGGAGTGTTTGAGCCAATTTCCGTACACCTTAACTAATTCCTTGAGACCTTGAAATTATCGACCAGGTAAGAGTTTTAGTGGTTACCTCTATTAGCACTTAAGAAGAAACTTAAACTCGGTACATCTTAAGTAATACATCCAAAAATCCTTATTGAATCACTTGATCACATCGGTCAGAGATAATTAATTAATTTCCAAGTTTATTAAAATCAATTATTGATAGTGTTATTTTTTTATTAATTAAATTTACTAGTTACATGGCCCCGAGACATCATCGAAACGGCCAGTGAAAGTTGAGTAAATTAAGGTGGCTCTGGCTTATTTTGGGTCAATAATTAAGCTAGTTTAATATTAAAATCGTGTCGATTAATTAACTAGTCACATGACCCTGACATGACCACGTTAAGTGGAAGCCCCTGACATGATCACGTTGAGTGGAAGCAGATTGATTAAGGTGGCTCAATTTGGGTCAGTAATTAAGCCGGTCAATTAACTCAACCCGGTCAGCCCCCACACAAATTGGACTCCTTAACCATAAGACGCCAAACCAGACACGTTCCTTCCATTTCCATTTTTCATAGAAAATTCAACTTTTTCATTTATTTTTTAAGTCTTCTTGATCCCCAAGAAACTTCTATTTCAATATTTTAAAGTTTAAACTTGCTCTCCAAGAAAGTGTAACCAGAAACGCACCGCCTCTAAATTATAATGAAATAAATATCTTGGTCTCCAGAAATTTCTCAATGATTTCTCCTTTATTACCTTTCCAGGTTGGCAACTTAATTGGCTACTATAAATTAAACCTTCCTTAAACCCTCCGTAATATAACCAAGAAACAGTCAAAATTACGTACAAAAAACTCTGATTTTGTTGGTTTTTGATCTCTGAATCTGAAGATGATGAGCCGTAGTGGAAGCAAGTTATTGGGTAATTCCATGTTGGCCGTGCTGGGGCCTCGCTTGTTCTCTTCTGTAGCCACTCGTACGGTGTCCGGAGAGTCGGCGGCTACCGGGATCCTGACGGGTTACAATTACAAGCTTGGGATTGTTGCCGTGAGAAATAGGAGTACTTTGGTTTTGGGTGAGAAGGAACAGGAGGAGAAGCAACAAGCGAAGGAAACAGCCGGTGACGGTAACAATGACGAAGAGAAGAGGATCGTGAGTTACTGGGGTGTTGAGGCTCCTAAGGTCACTAAAGAAGATGGTACGGAATGGCGATGGAGCTGCTTTAGGGTACACAGATCAGACCTTTCTTCTAGTTTAATTTTCTGCATTTTTTTTATATAAAATATTTATGATTTAATTACGTTTATTGTGTATTGCAGCCATGGGAGACCTACAGAGCTGACTTATCAATTGATCTGAAGAAACACCATGCGCCTGCAACATTTTTGGACAAAATGGCTTTTTGGACTGTCAAATCTCTCAGATGGCCAACAGATTTGTTCTTTCAGGTAATATACCCTATAATTCTCTTGTCAAGACGTCGTGTTATAATTGTATAGATGAGTCCAGATTGTCTTGATGTAATTTTATCATCTGAATTGCGAATATGATTAAGTATACGATCCGGACAGTTTATACCTGAACTTTCTGACAATAGAACTACTCCATGTTTACAGATCTTCTGTTTATTTATTTATTTTAGGGTTCTTCTGCTAAACCAATTTTTGTTTGCTTTTACGTACAGAGGAGATATGGATGCCGGGCAATGATGCTTGAGACAGTTGCGGCGGTGCCTGGAATGGTGGGAGGCTTGCTGTTACACTGCAAGTCATTGAGGAAATTCGAGCACAGCGGCGGCTGGATCAAAGCACTTTTGGAAGAAGCAGAGAACGAAAGAATGCATCTCATGACTTTCATGGAGGTGGCGAAGCCCAGATGGTATGAGAGGGCTCTAGTTTTTACAGTCCAAGGCGTATTCTTCAATGCCTACTTCTTGGGGTATTTGATTTCTCCGAAATTCGCTCACCGCATGGTGGGGTACCTGGAAGAAGAAGCAATTCACTCTTACACAGAATTCCTCAAGGAATTGGACAAAGGAAACATTGAAAATGTACCAGCTCCGGCAATCGCCATTGATTACTGGCGCCTGCCTCAGAACTCGACTCTTCGTGACGTTGTGATGGTGGTGAGAGCCGATGAGGCCCATCACCGTGATGTGAATCACTTTGCATCGGTAAGGCGTGGGTGATTTAATTGAGAATTTCGGTGATTATTAGTGTTAATTATTGATTATTAATGGAGTTAAATTTGGATTTGCAGGATATACATTATCAGGGGCGTGAATTGAGGGAGTCTCCAGCGCCAATTGGGTATCACTAAAATTGATGTTAAATGTTTGGTAGAATAAACATATTCTTTGAGTATTCCTTCTCTGTTGACTATTATGTAAATATAATGTACACTTTTGGAGTGTGTTACTGTTACTAAACTAATAATATTATTAAATTCTTAAGAATTAAGGTAAAAGATCTTTTGGTTAAGGGATTATATATTTTGACAGCCATTTTCAAGGCAGATCCTCGGTTTTAATTTGATTAATTTCTACTGTTGTATTCTTCATAATTACTCATTTAAGTAAATAAATATGTACTCGAGGATAAATTGGTTATTACATATTGAGTAAACTACATGTTTCCAAGTTTCTGTCCTGAACTTCATAAATTTCAGATTTTTACCGTTAAATTAATAGAAAATTATGTAAATTAACGGTTCAAGGGTATTTAAGTTTTTTTATTCAGAATAACCCTCACCTCTTTAAATTTACTCATAACCCAATCGTTCCTCTTCGCCTCCAAGTTCAACTCTTCCACCACCACCAACCCTTTGTCACCTCAAACACCATCTTCTAGCTGCCAAAAAACCCCATATGCACAACTTTTCGTCTTCCACTGCCGTGCTACTTTCTGGCCAGCCTTTGGTGCACATTAGCAAGCATCGCCCTCTGTCGTTTTGCCACTTTTTTAGCGACGAAAATTGCTTACGACCCTATTTTTTCACTCATTGGCCCTTCCTCTTCCATCGCTACCCACCTCCTTATTGCTTAAACTCTCTAATAGCCGTTGACCGGCTTGTTAAGGATTTGCGACTTTGTCACAGTTTCTTCTCCTTTCTTTGGTTGGCCTATTCACAAGAAATACCTCCAACCATTGGCATTCGAACCAACTGCACTTCAAAACCCCTTTTGAACCTGTCCTCCATCTATTGTCGATTTGCCACCGCCTCCTCTCAAAGGTGCTTGGTTGAATGACGAATTGGGATTTGGTTTTTTTGACATTTTAAGCATTTTTTTGAACTTGTTTACTGGAGATTGTTGCATTGTTGTGTTGTGTTGCCATGTTTGTTGTTTTTCCGATCATCATTCAACTCCAACTATAGCTTTTTTTTATCGTCAAGGTTGGCACACCAATCGTTCAACTAAATTTCGTTAAGAAGCCAACGCACATTTGTTTGAAGTTTGGTTGGATTTTGGAATTGGATTGTGTTTGAATTTATTTTGGAAGTGTAGATTGTTCTGTGTTTTGTTTGTACAGATAATGTCAGAGTAACAAGCTTGTTCCGTTCTCTCCATTGGCCCACAGTCACCCCCACACAACACTCTCTACACTCATTCAGGAATTTATTATTTATTAAGAGCAGTTTGGTAATAGCACTTGTTATACTGTATCAAAATCCAAAAATCACTAACATCGTTTAATGGAATTTATGAAACATAGGTGGGAACTTGCCGATTCACAAAACCTTGGTGAGAACATTTCGTTTACTCTTACATATTTTCTTAGAATTCATTTATTGTACGATGCCAAAATTTTAAAAGTTGGGGTAGGATATTGTAAATTTATTTTTAACCTAAAATTGTGTTTAATTTGACTAATGGTATGTTAAAATTTTAAGGTTTTTTCTTTATTATTTTTCCAAATATCAAATCGACAACTCTTTTAACATTGGATAAAAAGATGATTATTAAATGATGCCAATTTTTTTTTTAAAGAGATGTACATAACAAATAGGATTTATAAATTAAACGCAACTTGAACCATTTTAATAAGCTTAATTAGAGCATCTGTACTCTTTATTTTGAAGAGTATATTTCTTATAAATAAAGTGCATCTTCATTCATTTTTAAATATAAAGAACACAATTTTTATTCAAATCCAATAAACTCTTTAAATTTAATGAGGATCCTCTTTATTTTCAAGAAATAGACTTAATGGGAGAAGAAATAGACTTAATGGGAGAGAGAAATAATAAATAAAATGCATAGAAAGTTGTAGTTTATTAATTAAAATTAGGATAGAGAGTGAAATTTGACTCTCTACATGTGGAGAGTCAAACTCACTCTTTAATTTATATTTTAAAGATAAAGAGCCTGTTGGACTCTTGTTTTATGGATAGATTCTTTATAATAAATAGTTTAGGTCATATAAAGAGTCATTTGGAGATGCTCTTAGTACACTAAACAATGTGATATAATACACTGTTTTAGCAGGCAATAACATATAGAAATTAAATTAGTTGTAACCAAAATTTTATTAATGACAATGTGTTAAGTAAACAAAATTAATTTATTTTTTAAAATACACTAGCTATTCAAAATTTGAAAAAGTAGACTGCTTCATAATTCCAAAGTCAACATAAATTTAATGGATTAGTTATATAGTTTATACTTAAATTATATAATAAATATATATATAAAAAAAAACCTTTCTATGACCTAGATTTGAACAAAAATAGGTATTTAGAATCAATTTTTGACACAAAATAAACTTTTATTGTAGATTCAATTAAATTAAATATTGATCTACAGTAATTTTTGAATTAAGAGAAATAACCATAATTTAAGAGATTAAACCTTAAGGTGTTGCCCAAGAAGGTTTGTTTCTTTCAATTCTTAGGTTCAAACTTTTAACCATCTACCACAATAACATTATGGCTTACTTGGTTTTTTGTGCTTGTAAGATGTTTAATGGACCTTAGAGATTAATTGGGATACGCGTAAGCTGACCCAGACACTCTAATTACCAAAAAAAAAAAAAAAAAAGTGAGAGAAAGATTTTCTAACCATAAAATGATTAAAAAAAACCAAAATTTAAAACAAAAATAACCAATGTTCTAAAAACCGAACCGGACAATGACCCGTTCAAGGGTCCGGTTTTCGGTTTGACCTGTTGGATCGGTCGGTTGGACAGCAATTTATAAAATTACTTTTAGTCCCTGAAGGTTTGACATTCATCAAAAACACCTCTATAATACTCCCTTAAGGTTTGAAATCTATCTAAAACACCCCTGTTGTTCGAAGATTCTGGTGAGTGGTGGCGGCAGCGATGATCGACGCCCAATCGAAGCTGGAATCTTGGGGCTTTTGATGTGTAGGTGTCGGAGACTCTGATGGTGGTGCTAGGGAGTTCCATCGTGGTCAGAACTCGCCGAAATCAACGAAAGAAATCCGACGTCGTGTCACGCGTGAACTTTAGGTGGACGGCATCGACATAGGTTGGACGACGGCGGCTGAAAATGGATGGTTTTGGTCGTGGAGATGCCGTCTGTCGAATGGGGGTGTTTTCTCCGTCGAAAGATGCCGGAATCCGGTGGGGTTTAGCTGCGATTGGACCGCGATTCGACACTATTCCGGCGGTCCAACCGCAGTCCAATCCAGTTTAAATCAAAATGACGGTTTTTTATATATACCGGACCGGATTTGCCGCCGGTTGCCGGTCGAACCCGTCCGACCGAGTGGTCCAGTCCAGTTTTCAGAACATTGAAAATAACCATATTTTCACCAATGTCACTAAACATTAGACTTGGCAAAACGGGTCCAAACTCGCGGGTCCACCCTATACCCGAGAAAAAAAATATAGGGTGCAGGTCCTTGAAATTGAACCTGTTTTTTTTCGACCCGTACCCGGCCCGACCCGTATTGTCAACGGGTTAGACAGGTAAACCCGTGGGTGCCCACGAGTACCCGTTTATTATTTTTTTCAAAATAAAAAATTTTGAAATCCCTAATATCCTAAAAGTCTATCACTATTAGTTCGACTCTCCTCCCTCCTGCCTCTCATCTCATCCCACAGACGCAACGCAACTCTCTTCTCTCACCGTCGCCATCTCCTCTCTCACAGTCTCACATCATCACACCGTCACCAACTATCCTCCCTCCCACACAAACGCAACTCTTCTTTCTCACATCGTCACCGTCGCCGTCAACATCTCCTCTCTCACATTGTCACCGTCGTCGTCGCCATCTCCACTCTTCATTACTTTTCATTTTGAGTCCATCACACCTCCACCATTGTAGATCTGTGAGTTTTTACCAAAGATTATAGATTATATTTTTATTCATTTTTGACATCTGGGTTTTTCTTATTCCATCAATTGCTATTTGGGTCTTGCTATTACTTTAGAATCACATGCACACTTTTTTTTACCCTTACATGAGCTTTTCATTCCAATATACAGCTGTTAGTGAGCCCTAAAAAGATTCAAAAGTCTTGACATCTGTGTACCCAGTTGTTGATGGTCTATCCGAGGATATCACTCCTTCTCTCGATGGTCTATCCGAGAAAGAGATGGGTGTTTTTGATGATTGGGAGAAGAAGTTTGAAGCTAAGTACCTAGTTGTTGGCTGTGTTGCTTCTTAAAGTTATGTGGGTGTTGGGTAGGAAGGATTGTGTATGATCTGAACTTGCTGGTATAGCGAATAATTGGATTAATAAAATAAATGGGGGTTGTGTGAATTTGGCTTTATTGTTCTTTTTATTTTGTTTGGTTTGCAGTTGTGTGCTCTGGCCATAGTTTGCCCCATTTTGTTTGTAGGATGATTCATTTAATTCTTGCAATGAATTTGAGATCCTTGCTGGTCTCTTTGGTTTACTAAGATGCCTTTAATTCTTAGTATCGGTAGGAATTGTGTGGATGCATGAATGAAAAAAAAAATAAAGGACGATGGAGTGAGTTTGGGATTTTTGTGCACTTTCAAAAGTTATTCCTAGGGTGAATGCTTATGTCTATGTATCTCAAGCTTGATTCTGCTGATCTCTTGGGAGGAGCTTTAGTTTCTAGGATATGTGGTTTTGTTGACTTCATGCGTATATAGATGTTAGGAGTGAATTTTACGGGTGTAACTATCATAATTGAAAACTATTGGGGTGAAAATAATAATTAAAACCGAAGAGAGAAAAAATGGGCACCCACTGGTCCACCCGTACATGCATAAGGTAGGATACGGGTTCAATATTTTAGACCCGTATATCTCGACCTGTATTAGGTCCATACCCATGTCCTTTGGGACCCGTACCCATGATAACCCGACCCCAACCCAGTCCACCCGCCCGTTTTGCCAGGTCTACTAAACATATAAGTATAGTTGAAGTAAATTTCTAAAAACCCCTCATAGCATTGATAAGTAGAATGCCAACCCAACTACTATATCTGCCTTCTGTAATCACCCCATTTTTACTGTTCTTTATTAAACCAAAGGTGATGGGCAAGGAGGAAGGTGAGGCATATGACAACAACAAATGATTAATGGGCGATTTAAATACTAGTAAATGAAGACCAAAGTGAAAGTGAAAGTGAAAGTGAAAGTGGACCTTCCAATTTGAACGCACGCCCTCAACATAAATGTCTTCTTCCTCCCAAAACCCATATCTCCAATCACCAGATAAATGGTGCCGGTGACTCAATTTCACCCTTAATTTCCATTAATTTCACTTATGGATTCCGTGCAAATCCCTCACTCTCAGACTCAGACCTCCAAGAAGAGTTTAAATTATGTACTGTTTCGGATGATCTTAACCCTCGTTTTCCCAATCTTCATCTTCTTTTTCTTGTCGTTTTCGATCGGCCTCGTCGCAATTTTGTTCGGGGAATTATCGGTTTCTAGTTCCATTTTTGTTCAGACTCAGTGCAAGATAGTCTCCAGTAGTAAGTTTATTTATTTATTTAGTATTAATATTTGATTATCTGAATACAAAGCTTGTTCATTTTTTGGTTTATTAATCTTGTTCAGGTGTTGATATAAGGTCATCGAAGGTTTGTGAACTTGGGGTGTTGAATTATAAAGCGAAGCGTGTGTTTTACCCTTTTGAAAAAAGTAAATTTCGGTGTCGGTATGATTATTACTGGGCTTCTGTGTTCAAGGTAAATGCCAGAGCTTTGGTTGATATATTGTTTTTGGGAAATATTATTGTTCTTTCAAGAAAGCATGCAACTTTAGTATGTTCACTAATCACAAGTTCAGTTTGAATCTTCAACATGTGTATGTGCATATTTTAGTTGTAGGTTTTTTATGGGTATCGGAATTGGGACAATGAATGTATTTTTTTATGTTTCTTTTGTTGATTATGTTTGTGACTTTTAACAATTTCAGGTGCAATATATTGATCATTCTCGGGGTCAAATACGATTTGCTTTGGCAGAGGCTCCAAATGAGGCTCTTCCAGTTAATTGCAGGCCAAATTTTGGTGCTGCGTGGTTGACCAAAGATAAATTTAAGGTAGGGGTTGCGAAAACTTGAGGTCTCAATCTTTACTTGCTACGGAATTTAACTTCTATGAGTAATTGAGTTGAAGCTTTATAAAGAAATTTCTAATTTGGTTAGATGGTAGAGATGGATACATGCTGCTATTTTGTAAATTCTTTTCTGTTTTTCTTAAGAGAAATGAATGTTTATGTACTTTTTCCGTTTCTTTTATTTTTTTAGGTAAATGAGACCTATGAATGCTGGTATACATCTGACGTCTCCAAGGTGAGCTTGTATCATGATGGTTTTTTCAGCTGCCAGGCAAAAGAACCATCCGCAGTTGAGATGTTTAGACGATACTCTATCTTGTGAGTAAATATGCTTTATTATTAGTCGTATAGTTGTTGCCCTTCTTATTTGCTTTGTATATGGCCTTTGAGCATTGTAGGCATATGGTTGGCCTTGTTTGCATTTCATTGTAGTATGCGAGTAGGCTCTAGTTGTTTTATAAAGATATAAAGAGACTAAAAGCAAGAAATCCTTCCTATTGGCTATGGTGGATAAAGTTTCCTCAAATGGAAGAGAGAGGATAGAAGAGTTTGGGAGCTCCATGCTTTCGAGATGTTTTCTTACAAATTCTCCATTTTTGGTTAACTGATGATCATTGTTTTAGTCTTTCTTACCGGCTTGCATGATTTGTGAAGCAGAAGTCATGATTTTTGCTTGGACCAGTTCTTCTTGCATTGTAGTGTTTCTTTAAGTTTATGTTTTAGTGGGTATAAACTTATTGAGACAAAAACAATGAGTTCATTTGGCCTCTTGGGGTGACTTTCATGCAAGACTCTTTTGTGGTTTTGGCAAAGGAGAAAAGACCGAAGTCTGTGTTGTTTTAGCTGGTTTGTGGGTAATTTGGCAAGTAAGAAAAAGAAGAATTTTTGAAGATGGATGTGAGAAAGATGCTGATATTTTGTAGGGTAAAGTCTATTGTTTGTTTGTGTTCCTGCTTCGGTCTTTAAAGCTTTTAAGGATACTTCTCGCTTCTGCATTCACTTAAATTGGAAAGGGATGGAAGGATTTCATTGATTCTTGCTTCCAGCATTTTTATTTGGGGTGGATTGGTATTGGGGGATTACTGTTCTTTTAAAGGAAGAAGGGAATTTTTTATAAGACTGGGGAATGTTGTGGAGGGTTTGCTCAAGGGATCAAAGAACAAAGACTATGTCAAGCTGTTTAAGGTTAAAATCAACAGGTGATAGCATCATTTATGTTAATGGCAACCAGACTATGGAATCAAATCAAATTGGTTATGATATTTCGTTTGAGCGAAGAGGGCAGGTGTTTAGCTCTCTTTTGGGCCACCTACATGGGATAATATACAGTTTCCTTAATTACAAGAGTTGAATGGGGTCCAGCAATTATCAACAATTTTAAAATAAGGGCAATACATGAGAAAACTAAAGGTATGTCAAAGTAACATAGAGATATCTAAGAAGTCAACTAGGTCAATACCCCTGCTATTCAAGGATTGCAGAAATCACAGTTCTGTCCCTAGATATAAATTTAACCTTGAAACCTGAAGTAACATTCCGAAATAGAAACTGAACTAATCCTAAAGTGCCCCTACTGTGCAATATCTCATACATTGAACTGTTAGAACTAGATATAGAAGCAGCCATAAATCCTATTCTCCACGTCTCCATGATAAGATTTTAAATCCAGTGGGTTAATGGAATGGAAAGCAGGAAGGAAACATATCAAATTGCCTTTAATATTCTGGATGTTATCTTCATTTTGACTTTATACATCAGTATGTGCTCCCTTTGTGATTAATGACTGCATTCAACTGAACTGCATGTGTGGGCATGCGTGTTTGTGATTTTTTAACGAATTCTTTCTCTAATTCAATATTTTTTATATGGCTCTTTATCATCAGGTCCACAAAGATTTTACAATCTTGGTTTACTCACAACAGAAAAGCCAAGTACTGGAGGTGGGAGACAATAATTAGTGTTTTTTCTGGTTTCTTAACTTCATTGATCACCATCAGCGTTGTTAGAATTCTACAAACAGTTAAGTCTTGGACGCTAGCTCGGGTTTTCAATACTGTCTTCTTCAAGCGTGTTTGTTTTCTTGTGGTATACTTATTAGTCATGGGTTGGTTGGCCATTTGTTATGGAAAATGGCTTGGTCTTCTGTAGATTTTTCACAGTTAATAATTTCCTAGGGAGCATTCTCTTTTACCGGTGCTTCTTACTCTTTCTCCTCCTGAGGACCAGAGTACTGCCGCTTCAAAATTGCAATATATGTAACATTCCTTGTGCAACATACGTGATAAAGTACCTAGATAAAATGAAGAATATGTAGCTGAGGTGAATAGGAAATTCTGAGTATATAGGAGATTTGTGTTATGAAACAGCCGATGTAACATATAATACATTACGTTTAAGCATTTGATAAGTTTAGAGTTGGAAGGCAAGATATAGTATTTAATGTATAGCTGTAGTCAGATTGATTATTGCTTCTCATTTTCCATTTGGTGCGCTTAAGAGTACCGCAATTTTATAATTCGATGTGGGTCAAGGAAAAAAAAGGAACATTTGAATGTTTTCATACTACTTTTATACAGTCAGTTTGCTAAAGTTATTGCACCATATCAATGTTCTCAAACACTGCAATTTTACTTGAAAGAAAGCAGCTGGGTGACTACATTGGTGGACTGATTGCTTTCTTGGCCATATATGATTCTCCAGAGAAAACTGAGCCCTGATATATGAAGTCAAATGGCTTTTGCAGCATAGTGTCTTTTACTTTTATCAGCAAGAGAATGAGAGTAAAGAACAAATTTATAGATGCTTGTTGGCTTCAGGAGCAGCAAAACTTTCTCTGAGATATGAATTTCTCAACAAATTGGAGTTTGAACTTTCCAAAATCTACTACAACCAAAGTTAGAAACTGGATTACTACCCATATGATATGGGTTTTCTTTATCTGTATTTACCAAGTAAGCCACCCTGCCTATACAGATACATCAAGGGCAGGCTTTTAGTCTTTCTTTTGCTTATTCATTTGCATGTTGATTCCCGATTGGTTTCTGAACTGGATCTTTGGAATTGGAACCTTTGAAGTTTTGCTTACTGCTAAAACATATGGGGAGCTGGAAAAAGACTATATAAATCAGTTCTACATCTTTCCTGTTTCTGAGATGATCCGTTCGATCTCTTCCAGGAGACGCTCCTTTTCATCCATCAAATCTTCATTCTGCTTCTGAAGTTCTTCTATCTGCTTAGTCTGTTCAGAATCCTTCCTGAAATTTTATAGTGCAAAACTTGGTTCATAAACTAGAATGTATTCTAGTTAATATTGCATGAAGTTTTTCAAAGAAAACAAAGTTTAATTTCTTTACCCATTACCTGTTCATGAAAGACAAGTTAAGTTTGAGTGATCGCACTTCCTTTTCAAGATTTTCACACCGCTTTAAGACAGACTGCAGATCAGATGGAATTGCTGGTGTCAAATTCCTTTCCTTTGCCTCTGCCATCCTACACCACCAAGCCATGATATATAATTATAATTTTAAAATACAAAACTTTGGAGCATTGAAGAACAAATCATAATGCAAGTTTTGGGATGGTTTTACATACTTTCTCGACCGCTCCACCCTTCGCTTTTTTGTGGGATCTCCTTTGTCTGCTGCACAGTTTAAGTTGGTCAGAGACGTTAATAATTCTATCTTATAGCTGTTCAAGTTATTTTTCCAAATAAACAACTTGTATCCAGGATCAGTGGTTGAATAGGGAAGCTACATTTTTCATACTAGTGGAGCCTAAGCATAACTTATTACCTGAACCAGCTGAAGTCACAGATCCACACCGAACTAGTTCTCCCCTCTGTTAAACATTCCAAAACAACCATTAAAGCAAACTGGAAATCAGTAAAATCTTGCTAGTTTTAAAGAAAAATTGTCCTTATTATCCAGGTTTGGAGAATACCTTCCGGTCATCTTTCAAATTGTCAATTATTCGTTCTCGGATATCTGCAGTTTAAGAAACAATAGTTAAGAACAAAGAATGAATGTGCATAAGTCAACAAAAGGCTTTCCTCATCTCTATGTGAACAGTGTACCTTTTGCTCTGGAGCCATTTTCTATGCTTCTAGAGTTTCCAGCTTGTCTCCTGGAGCTCTCACAGATGCTTATAGTTTGACTTGAGTTACTAGGACCATCACATACTTCAAAACCAGATGAGATTACCGGTGCAGCCGCAGAAGATTCACTCTGCGAAGGTTCCCGAGAAACTGTGCTCACCTGAATTGGGTGAGCAGGATTTACAAAACCTTCCAAGTCAAGGTCCAGAGATCCTTGTAGAGTTACAGGATTCTTCACTTGGCCTGCAGATAATCCTTGAAAAGTTCCAGGCAGTTCATGAATCTGATTTACATGTCCCTGACTGAAACTAGTATGAACTATAACTTCTTGAGCTGGATGATAAATCCCATTTGAGCATTCTTCAACAGCTTCTTTCTCAATCTGGTTACTAAGTTTCTTGCGTTCTAAGGTACCCTTTAGCATGCTTACAACAGAGGACACTTGATCGACATTACCCGTTTGCGGAGTGTTGAATGTAGATGAGGGTGAATTGGATAGAGACATGAATGAGCCTATTTGGTTGGGAATCTCACACATAGGAAGATCATTGAAACTATTTGGATTTGCAGATTCTTCTCTCATTTTTTTGGGGCCATACAGCGAAGCATTGTGCACAGCTTCCACACCTAGTGTTGTTTGAGTTGTTTGCATAGCGGCATACCTCCTCCTACAAAAAGAGCATTCATATCAAATCAAGCAATACTAAATCTAATTAACCAGAAGGATAAAAATGATACCGCAATTCGGAGGATCGACTTCTTGTCATTGGTTGAGAACTATGAAACCAGGCCTGCACAAAAGTAGAGATGCATCAGAAGATCTTGAACCTTTCTGAACCTGATAGGTATAGATTTTTCCCAGCAATTCAATATCAACAAACCTTGGCTAAATACAGATTACTGGCCTGGAGTCCTCTCTCAACAGCGTTCCTGGTGAAAATGGAGACCAAATATGATGATTTTTTCGTAACACACATATTAATATTAATAGTAAGCATTGAAATAAAAAGAACAAATCTTGGAAGCTAGTGATTGCTACCTGATCGAATGTTGATTGAGGTCGCCGGGGATTTCTTCGACCGAGGGATTGTTCTGTGAAAATAAGACATCATTGCTTTTTTTCTTCTGTAGCATACTTCCATGTTGGTGACTAGACAAATTGTTTAGCTCTGCGGATATCCTGAAAAGTAAACATGTTTTAAAGTATGTAACATGACATTTTGAAGAGAGAAATTTATGATCAATTCTTGAAGGAGATCTAATAAAGATGACTCATTTCAGTGTCAAATCAACTTAAGAAAACTTTTATGGTTTCTTGAACTGACTACTTGACTTCTAAACTTAAAGAGTGTTCATTGAATATTTTCCAAGTTGCCCGCAACAAATTCAAAAACAGGACTGTGGGGTACGAACCCCCTCGGGGGCTTCTGCATGGCAAATGGCGGGGCTTCAGTTTCAAACTCACACTCACGTGATATTTCTGGATTATAAAGAAAAGAAAATCCCAAAACAGGGAAAGCTTCCTTATCTAAGAGAATTCTTTTTCTTGAATCTACTCACCTTCTTGATGCCTGTCTCGTTCGATGTGCTATGCCTGATGAATTATAGCCATGATTCTGCAAATTGAACAAAAAACAATTCAATCAGAAAAGCAAAAATCTTAAACGTCTGCTATAATATTGCTACATTATAAATACTCAAATAAAAATAACAACTTGCCTCTCCATTAGTGAGCCAGCTTTTGAAGAGCTCTTCACTATCAGTTCTTAAAGTCTGAGAAAGATTTTTAAACCCTAACATTTCCATAGTTGGAGCAGGCATTCCCATGGAAGTCTCCATTAACGACTTCAAAAACATCTCCTCGCTTGTGTTCCTACACAAATCTGAAAACCCTCTTTCTTCAGCCTCCATTAAACCCTTCTCCCCCTCACTCCTCTGAACCATCTGTCACTTGAAAAAACTAAACTTGACCTCTAAAATCCACCCATTTTTTCAAAACAAAAACACAGAGAACCCAAGTTGAAGATGAAGCTGAAGCTGAAAAATTAATCTGCTTTCAGTTGACCTTTACTTAAAGCAGTTCATTACTATGATTGATTATATGCATATTCTCATAATTTAGTATAATGCTAAGCATCTAGCAGGCATGAATTTTCAGGTTTCTTTTTTGATTCTATAAACTAGATATTTGTCTTTTTCTGTTAATTTCTGAGGCTTTCAACGGATGGAAATTGGCGGCAAAATTACTGCATCAACTAGACCCTTAATTTTTAATATTAAGATTTTATATAAATAATGTAGTCGTTGAACACCTTAATTGTTTATTAATTATTTCGCAATCACAATTAATAAATAAATATAAACATTGCAAAAATTAATTTCTTGTGTTAACATCACTCCACGCCACCCCACCATGGAAGAGAGAGTACGTAAGTTAACAATAATTATGGATTTAAATATGAGAGATTGATATTTATATCTACTCCTAAAGTGCTTTTTTTATACCTAATTATTAAAAAATTTTCATTTTATTCATCTCCAAATCCCAGAAAATAAATAAATTCATTTCTCCGTTCTAATATGGTTCATATTCGATCTCAATACAATTAAAAAAATTCGTAATATAATAAGATTTATTTAGAAAAGAAGTATTAAAAACATACCCTTTCAAAGGGAGGAAGGAATTGTTTGACTCGAGTAAAAGGGACATATTAACGGGTTTGACTGGGTGAGTTTAGTTGTTAAATATAATATAATTTGATGACACAACAGATTACGTAATTGTGGCATAATTCCATCAAATTTTGATTAATTTAAATTAAATAACCATTAATGTTGGCCGGCAGTATTTATAATTATCTTTAATCAACAATGACACATCTAATAATAATCTTAATTTTTTTTTTTTTTTTTTAATTAGCTGAATCGTTTCCCATTAATCATTTATAATTGCCCTTGTACTTGCTTCTTAAATTATGTAATAAATAATTTGAACATCATTTTTTTATAAAACTGAGATTAAATAAAGACACCAAAATTTATAATTTTTGGCCGGTTTTGAAACAGGTTTTGACTCATGACTGGTAATTTGCTCATGAAAATCTGGTGATGTATGTATATCGGATCAATAACGACATATAAGTAAAACGTTTTCTTATTGGTTCACACTCAAACAAATATACTTCACAGAAAGGAAATGGGATGAAGAGAAGTCTTGAGATAAAAACTTGGCCAGCCAATTCTCATTCCAATAACTCTTTACAAAAGTTGAGTGTGATTCTTAGCAAAAATCAATTGTGCATGAATAATAATGCAAACATGCACAAAAGATATACTCTACACCTCAGCCAGTCAGCCTCACGACTGCACCACATTCCTAGTAGCCATCTGGGCACTGGCATTAACAGAAAAAACCATATCAATATTCAATAACTGACCAATGAAGCAATAGAAAAAAGAAATGGAGCCAATGCTTAGTGTAATGCCAAGTCTAGGACTGAAGAACACAAGCTCTTGGGGTTCAAGCCTTGAAAGTGCCTACTTTGTTGAAAAAATGCTAAAGGATACAAACATAAACAATAGTTCCTAAGAGTTGGCTACTATCTTTTAATTAATATTTCGTTGAAACAATTCTCTAAGTTCATTATTTTTGCAGAATCACACGATAGATACACATATTAAATTCCATATATGATTTCGTATTTTCTACATTTAGATTGGATAACATATACTAAGAAGTAAAAAGCAAACATTAAAAACAATTACGATGCACATCACATCACATCAGTACCTATTTCAAAGGTGCAGGATACATACTCGTTCACTGTGGTCCGACAAATCGGTGAACCATGAAACAAGAAATCTCCTCCAGCATCTATCATTTGGCAATTTCTCGAAGATTATACTTGGTAAGTGTGCTTAGCAACAAATTGTCAGGCATGATTCCATTTCTCAACATATGGTCATACAATTGCATAGCTTCAGTAAGTCTCCCAGCCTCGCAATAAGCATGAATTAGGATTGCATAAGTAACCATGTCAGGCAATAACTGATAATCCAAAGCACAATGAAAAACATATAATGCTTCCTCCATAAGTCCTTTTTTGCAGAGACCATCAATGAGGATGCTATAACTAACAATATTTGGAGATATATTGCTTTCAAGCATCTCTCCGTAGAGCTCAAAGGCTTTCATATTTTGAGATTTGAAATAACCATCAATCAAACAGCTATATGTGACCACATTCGGTTCAGGACCCTTTTCCAACATTTTTGAGAATATCAGCATTGCATCATCAATTCTACCTTCTTTGCAGAAAGCATCAATCAGTATAGTAAAAGTAACAGAATTGGGTTTGAATTGTTGACTTTCCAGCTTTTCAAAAACCCGAACTGCCTCATCCAACCTTTTCAATGAGCAGTAACCACAAATCATAGAATTGTATGTTATAATATCAGGTTCTAGACCTCTATCAGCAAGTTGTTTAAAGAGTCCCAATGCAGCATCTAATTGGCATTCTTTAAAAAGCTTATAAATGAGAACATTGTATATCGCAATATCAGGATCTAATCCAGTTCTTTTCATCAGCTCAAAAATCTGCAGCCCAGCAATGGAATTTTTCTGCTTGCAAAGCCCATCAATGATAGCACAATATGTTATGATATCTGGTGACAAACCTTTCTTCAGGATTTGGAAGAAAAACAATAGAGCCTCATCCAATCTTCCTTGGTTAGCTGTCTCTCTAATAAGCATAGTATATGTAAATATATCTGGTTTTGTATTATACATCCCCATCAACATGACCAACTTCACAGCATCTCTTGTACGCTTCAATCTAAAGCAACCATCAATTAAGGTGTTAAATGTGTAGGTATTTGGATTTAAACCCCCACTTACAGCCTGAAAGAAAAATGTAAGAGCATCACCCATCAACCCTTGTTTGCAAAGACCATTTATTAGCAAACTATAAACAACAACATCAGGTTTAAGGCCATTCTTTATCATACTGCCATATAAACAAAACCCATCTCTCAATTTTCCTGATTTGCAGAAGCCATCAATGAGACTACTATAAGTTAACAAAGATGGCTCAAACCCTCGTTTCACAATTTGACCAAATACCCCATATGCCTCAACAACCCCACTCTGTTGACACAACCCATTTATAAGGATACTATAAGTAACAACATTAGGCAAAATCCCTTCGTTCAACATTCTACTGTACACCTGCACTACCCTTCCAAAATCCCTATTTCCCACGTACGCAGCCATAATTGAGCTGAAAACAACCACATCCAACTTTATACCTCTATCTAAAACCATCATAAAAAAATCATGTCCCTCCTTCAATCTACCTGCCTTCAGAAGGCCGTCAACAAGAATACCATAGATGATTAAATCAGGCACCACACCCTTCTCTATCATAACATTATAAAGCTCAAATGCTTTATCCAATTCCACCTCCTTACAATATGCATTAATCAAAGTGCTAAATGTCACAACACTTGGCTTCGGACCAACCATTAGAAGCATCTCAAATAAACTAGAAGCAATTCCAATCTGACTAAATAGGCAAAGACATTTCAAAATTCTATTACAAGCAACAATATTAGGCATAAAACCTCTCTGAATTATCTTTCCATGAAAACTCAAACCATTTTCAATTTCACCCCTCTTCAAAAAACCGTCCATCACAAACTCATACACACAAATACTCTTCACTCTCATTGCTTTACATAACTTATAATACTTTTGTACAACTATATCAACACAATTTAAATCAACCAAACAACCCAGCATTCTCTGCACCACATCAGGGGATACACAAATACCCATCTCACAAACATTAGCAAAAATCTCAACAGACTCACCAACCAGTCCATTTCTACAATAATTATCTATCAAGAAGCTATAACAAACACTTGGGTTCAAATCAAAATACTTGAGGCCATCACAAAACACAGGAAAGAAGTCATATTTGTTCCCAAATTGATTGACCATTTTGTCAAAAACTTGCGAAGCAACATCGAACATGCGGTGCTGCAGCAACATGTGAATGAGAGAACAGAGGGAAGGCACAGTGAGGGGAAAGTTCAGGGAGCCTGGATGAGACTTCAGTAGTTTCACTAGAAGGGGTTTAATCAGGTTGGGGGGTAATTGCAAATTTGAGAAATGTTGTATTGAGTTGTTTTTCGAGGAGTAATATTTGTTAATAGTAAAATAAACGGGAATTAAAATGTTTTTGCATTTGGGTACCTTTGAAGAGCAGAAAGAGAGCATCTCTGAGTATTTCCATTAATTTTCAGAGACTATTCTGCTTTTGCGACTTCAAACAAACACACGGGAAACCAAATATTCAAAGGATTTAAAGCTTCTATTTCTTTATAACCAAAGCCCTTCTCTTCGGGCTACGCAAAAACATCAGTAGATTTGTCTTACTGTTTAGTTCCTTTACCTTATAAAATTTATAATGTGAGGTTTGGACTTTGGAGGGATCGGGACTTTTTGGCAGCCCAAAAGGTTTTGGTCAATGATAGTTAACCCCCTACGAGTTTTATAATCTAGGAATTTGTTGATATTTTTTTAATTTGGGGTAGATAGATGTATTGTTTTTTACAGTATTTGGGTAGACTGGGGTTCTGAGAATAGTGGTTTGAGTGATTTGATTGAAATAGGCTTTTGTAGATTTTAGGGTTTTCTTTGAAGGGATTGGGGTCTTATATAGTTGAGGTTTGATTCAGAAATTCGGTATTTTTAATTACAAAGATGCAAATTTTTTTTTTTTTTTTGGGGTTATATTTTAGAGTAATAATAATCATATTTATAGTCATTAAACTTTTAGGATTTAACTAATATTAAACGAAAAGTTTAAAGTTTAAAAATTACCGATTACCCTATTTATAGTTTCATAAATTTTGGAACAAGTCCGTTTATTTCAACTAATTAGTCACTAATTACCCCTATCTCTAACACCATCCAATTGAATTTAATGTTGAAAGGGTAAGAGCATCTCACATTGATTTATTGAATTTACTTTTTATGGACCAGTAAGTGAACACGTGCTAAATGGATTGATGGCCACAAATTAATCTAATCGAGCCAGCAAAATCTAAACGAAAAGTGGCAGTTTAAACAGTTAGCCTAGAAATATCAAAATACCATTGTAGACTTAAAAAAAAAAAAAATACCAAATGAGATATAAGCAATGACCAAAATCCACAAAACAAACAGGTGAGGCATTAAAAATTCTATGAAAAAAGCAAAAATCTAACAAGCAATGCAAGGCCTAAATTGGGTGCCAAGACATTTTACAGTATAGGCTCTTGCTTTATCTGCTCCTGTTAAGAGTTGTCACACAGCTGCCATTTCGGCTCACAAGAAGGCAAAAATGTTTGAATAAATGATCTATATTGCCAGAGACGAAGATAGAAAGTGCAAAGCTATTCTCAAACAATCTCTAATTCACAGAAATGAAACGGAAAGATCATAAACCACCCTTAGCATTGCTTCCAAGTTCTGCAGTAGGTCACCCCGGTCAATTTTCAGAAGAGCAGATTACCATTCACCCAAATTTGCAAGGAATATATGAGACAACAGCTAGCTGAAGAATCCACTGATTGATTTAAAGACCTAGAAGAAAAAAGGAGGAAAAGAACTTTCTGTCACATACATTTTCAAGAAATTCAAAATAAGTGACAGCATCACAACAACAGTTCAGCCACCAAAACAACCAAAATAATAAAACCAACAATTATAATAATAATGATGATAAACTGTTATCCATATTCATGCTTGGAACTCATACAATAGTTTACAAGAAAAAGCCAACAACAAAATCAAACTTCTTCAGACCATCAGAAAGTAATCAAAATAACATATCTGACCTCTATTCCAACTGTAACTTGACTGGCCAATTGTTTTTAAACATCTGACCAAGAGATACTGTTTCATCACTCTTAATTTTCAGACATAGGACTTCTAGATTTCGAAATGAGAATTGTTAAGACTACGTGGAAGCTAATCCATAGTTTTCCCATCATAATTTTACCCCGAATAGCATTACAAAATAAAACATATAGGGAAGAGAGAAATAGAGATGCTGATTATGTGTTTGTAACTTTTCCCAGCTTATTGAGCACAGATACTAGTATTGTGCCATTAGCTGCAACAATCATGATTCTAGCTTCAAACTTCACAGCCAATGAACATAGCAGAAACATCTGATTGAGAAAATTTGCCACTATTCAGTAACTTTGTGGATGGTGAGACTGAGAAAATAGATAGAGAGTAAATGAGAATAGCAAACACAAAACCGTGTTTTAAGAGAAAGTAAAAACCCCACAAATCACGACTTCGTCTTTTGTCCTCAAGACTTTTTGAAGAAATTGCAAAAATGAGCTACATTTTTAGCACATACAAAGTATGAAGGGCGATATGCCCCAGTATTTCTGCATTACTAGCAGGACCAATGAATATAAATGGGGAACAATTTCTAGGTGTTTTGAGGGGAAATACTTCACTAACTCCCTCCAATAGTACAACATGAATAAACAATCTTCAAAAAACAAATTCAGTACGTAAAGGTGGCATTTACTTGAGAAAATTGTGCCAAAACAGCTGGGACCATTCTCACAGCCACCTTTAGAATTAAGAAACCTATGAGGCAAGGAGACGAAACCTGTCAGAAATTTTGACACTCTAAACAACCCCCTTGGCGCAGAAGCTAAGTCATTTTCATCAAGGATATAAACGAGATACATGTTACACTAAGATTCAGACAACTTTCTGTTAATTTATGAAAGTTCAGTTCCTATGTGACCACATATTAAACTGAAGTTAGGAGACGACCACATTAAAATGGATGGGGGCCAGTTGCCACCCAGAGAATTTTGGAAACAGAAAAATAGGTGCAGTGGGCTTTATCCATTACTTTCTTAACTCTTGCCACCACATACATAACTTCTTCCTTTAAAGAAATAAATCAATGACATCTTAACTTTGATAAAGATTTGGTGAAGACAAGTTTACATCTAAATAGATGTTATGACCATATATCGCAACCAGTACATCATAAACTAAAATTGTGGATATCTGATAAGTCATTCATTCAGAACTGTCTTATGCATCAAAACATTAAGACACTTTTAAGAAGTCCATGGCATGTTCCCCAGGTTTCTATTAACAATTCACAGTGAATAAGTTGCTCTATAAAAAAATCATGAATGCATATTGCTGATACAACTAGAACTTGGGGACGGATATTAACATCATCTTCTTAAAGCTCATCCCAACAAACTAGGTAGAACACATGGCAAATTAGAATAATGCATGAATTATAGCCTAAATGCACAACAAAAAAGAGATTGAAAAGTTATCATACCACTAAAAACATTCCATGCTAGTAAATCTCATCATCAGGAACATCTGGTGTCAAGTATTTCCTCGGATCTTTACTAATTTCCTCGTAATTGAAGTTTGGTTTGACCTTATCCGGCACAGGCATCAAAGGAATGATGCTATCTCTATCAATAACTCCATCAATAATTCCATATTCAACCGCTTCAATTGGAGACAAATAACGGTCCCTATCAATCTCTTTTTGAACTTGTTCAAAAGGACGACCAGTGAAACCAGATATAATTCTGGTAATATTATTCTTGTTATGCATAATTTCTTTCGCTTGAATCTCCACATCAATTGCCTGCCCACTAGCCCCTCCAAGAGGCTGATGAATCATAATTCGTGTGTTGGGCATTGCGAGACGCTTGCCTTTGGTGCCACCACCAAGAATTACCGAAGCAGTTGATGCTGCAATGCCAAGTGCAACTGTGGACACATCAGCTCTCACCAACTGTACCACATCATATATAGCCATTGTGGCACTGCCATACACAAACCAAAATAAATAAATTAAGGGCTTCTTCAATATAGAATCTAAATACGAAGTTTTCGTTTCCAAAAACAAGGATATAAGAAATTTCATGAAAACGCTTCCGGTTCAAATGAGTTAAAATGTTTTCAAAAACAGTTTATAATGCAATCCTACAAACCAGTGAAATAAAAGGACGAAACTATTTGTTTTCTATAGAGTTTAATTACGAATATTGAGATACAACTCGTAATACCTAAGAATATCGAACGCAAATTCAAAAATTCCTCCAGTTACGAATTGAAATAAGAAATTGATAAAATCAAAATATAAAAATAAATAAAAATAAAAATAAAAAAATAAATTGCCTAAGAGATCCGCCAGGAGAATTGATGAAAAGTCTGATATCTTTGGTGGGGTCTTGAGCGTCAAGTAACAAGAGCTGACTAATAATGGCATCAGCTACGAAATCGTCGATTTGGTTACCCAAAAAGACGATTCTTTCCCTGAGAAGTAGGCCCATGGCGTCGGACTCGGCGCCTCGCATGGCGGTGGCGGGGGTCTGAGGAGCAGAAGATAAATGCACATGTGGATGTTGCTGTTGAAGCACTAGGGTTTTGGCAGATAATTTAGGGGTTTTAAGAGAAGAAATGGGTTTGAAAGAAAGAGGAAAGGAATTGCAGCGAAGAGAGAAAGTGGGTTTATAAATGAAATGGAATTGAGAAGATAAAGGCGAAGAAAGTGAGAGCAAGTCCATGCTTAGCTTCAGATACTTCAACAAAAGTTTGGGTAAGGTAAGTGGAAGACGACTCCTCTGTACTGTGAACTCTTCAACTGAGGTTCACGTACAAAAAGGATCAGATTAGACCCACCAGCCCGCCCGAATCAGGATTCATACGAAAGGTCGGTTCGGGTCTAGATTCTAGAAATATGAACCCATTTTATAACTAGGAAATACCTTCAAAATGTGAACAAAATGCATTAGTTTATAAGAATCTTTTTGGTGACTCTAAAATACCCTTACAACCTTCTTTAAGAAGACTAATATACCCTTAAACTCTTGGTTGCTACCATAATATCCTCGAGTGTGTTTGTTTTGTTATTTTGGGTAAGATTTTTGAAATAGTATTATTAAGTTGAATTGGGTTATTATTACGAGAACATAATTTGAATAAAATGTTTTTAGTTGAATATTTTGACTTTGTTATTAAAGTTGAATAAATTGTTGAATATTTGTTTGGTATATTTTTTTATAAAGGATTTATTGGTACAATATTTTGGTGTATTTTGTTAAAATAATTCATTATTATAACCTAAAAACTAATCAATTTACATTTTAATAATATTAAACATTTGATTGGTAATTTCGTAACCACTAAATTAAAAACAAATTTCTCATATTAATTTAAAGTACTAATCTCACTGTTTAAAAACACCACATTAATACATGTATGACAAAGCTACTAATTATCAACTTTTAGAGTCGTTTGTACACCTATAATCCATTAACAACTACGACATGGTCATATGTTCTGCCCACATTTCAGTCGTTATGTTATCTCACAGAGTCATCATGTCGTCTTTAATACGCTACTGTGGTTGACTCGATTCCTCTCCATCTTCGCCATCTTCTGCCCCGTTTTGGACATCAAAATATACTTGCTCATTACCCATATTTTCAGTATACAATTGGTAGATAGGGTCCTCCATATTGTACCTTCTGATAAAATTATGAAGTACACAACATACCATAGCAATCTTAGCTTGTTTCTCCAACGAGTAATTGTTCATTCCATTGAGAATATGGAACCTTTTTTTTTAAACACCAAAGGTTCTCTCGACAACATTACAGAGTGATGCATGTTTGTAGTTAAAAAACTCTTATGGCCCCCTCCGGTTATAGCGGTGATCATGAAGATGGTAAGGTATTCACCTATGAGGGGCAAGGAACCCCTCTCTATTTGGATAACCCACATCAACCAAATAATATTTTCCTGTAATAAAATCACACATGTTATTTGAATTCCAGGGTCTCAAAAATGGAGCCAGTACGCTATAATATGTAAAGAAGGTACTTATACCTAGTAGAGGATGTGGGAATCCAGAATTAGGATTATCAAGAACTAAATTTAAAACACTTGAATCATGCACAGATCCTTCCCACCTAGTGACAACAAAAGTGAACATCATCCTAAAGTCGTATACAACCATTACATTCTACGACAACATTCCTTTGCAATTTTGATACCTATCGGCCAACTCTTGTGGAACCCAAGCATGGACATGTGTGTCATCAATGGCTCCAATACAGTCCTATCATCAAAATTGAATTTTAGTAATATGAACTAACTATCAACATTAATAACACAATGAACTTAACTACCCAGTAATATAAAAAATAATGAAGAAGTACCTTAACGAAAGGGTAATATTTTCAGTTGGTCGATATTTCCAGTGGAACATCACTGAAGTCAGGTGGCTTGATAAACTCTGTCTTCAACTCACATATCGCCTTGCAAACTTCACCAATATATCTAGAGATCACCTCACCTGAATGTTGGAAATCCTCCATCATCATACTGTTTGTCTCATTTTTACCTACAATTGTCGAAAATATAACTTGTTCTTTAATACTCATCCTCTTGGTTGCTCGCAATTTCCCTTGCTGTACCAAAATGTAACATAAGTTTGTAAAATAGTTTTTGTCCATGGGGCACTTCCTAAAGATTTTGTCATCATGACCATTTAGTACTTCCAACATGTTATCATGACCAATTAATATGGATGTATGTCGTAATTGACGCCCATGTGTTCTGAAGTCTGTTTCCAACGCAGCAATAGTGCACAATACAACTGTTACATCTGCCAGTATTTCTTCTCCTTCATCTGCAGTATTTCGTCTTCTTTATGTACGCCTAGACAACACCATCTAAACATATACATTTGTAAAACATTAGTACTTAGCAAAATATAACATTAAATTTTTAATTCTAATTACAATCCCGAACTTATATGAAACATGTTCTCTCAGATTAAAACAATAGCACAATGAATAAGTTCATACAATAGCAAACATTAAGGTACATTTTTCAAATCAAGGTGCTGAAAAAAGTTTGGGTTAGCTGTAAAAGGAATAAGTGCCAACTGCCGTATACAAAACTGTGGGGAAACACTTAGGACATACAAGCTCATCTACAAATTGCGAAAGTCATTATAAATCCAATTAGCCTTTTCCTCGGGTGGCAGGTGTACAAATATCTCCTGTCACCCTGGATTTTGATATAAGTACTTGACAACCGGCATGTACAACTCTGAGGGTGCTTGCATAGACATCAAGATGTCAATACAATGGCCCATGGAATACAGATCAGATGGAGCATCAGTGTTCTCTTCATCCCCCTCATCTCAACTGCGATTGTTAGCCCTAGATCTTATACTACTCTCAACAAGCACGTCTATCAATTTGCCAATGACATTCACAAGTGCGTGTCCTGGGCCACTTCTCTTTTTCCTATTTCTCAATCTTCCATGACCAAATATGTTTGACCCTTTTTCCCCTATCGTTTGATTCGAATCAAGTTCGAACTCACTATCATCAATGTCAACCGGTCCTTGATCGGAAGAAGTGAAGTTCTCCAAATATGGCAAAGATGTGTACGCATATCTCTCTATGTCAGTTTACTTCTCAAATATGACTTCTTAAAGCTCCTTGTGAGGAAGTCATTTGTGGAAGAATTGCTACATCTAGAGCTGGGCATTTGGGACCGGGTCCAAAAACTAGGTCCTATCTGGCCTGGTCCCAAAATCAGACAAGGCCTAAGGAGGAGGGCCCAGTCCCAAACACTTTTGATTTTTTTTTAGCCCCTTAGATAATTAATAAAACCCCCTATAAATTTTGAAATAAACATAAATTGTAGGGGTTAAAATAAAATTTTAAAAAATTAAAAAAATTTGTTTAATAACTACACTATAAATATCCCCTAAATTTCTCATTTTTTCCACACCACTCAACTCTCATTCTCTCAATCTCTCTACTCTCTACTCCAAATCTCCAATCAAATTCTCATTCAATTTATATTTATATTTATAATTTATAATTTATAATTTATTCATATTATTTATTTATTTATTTATATTTTTCTATTTTTTGATGTCATCTTATATTCATATTATTATTTAATTTTTTTAATTTTAATTATTTATTATTTTATCATAAATTCATAATGAATTCCCGAAATGATGCATTCGGAGGATCATCCCCAAATGAGTTTTACGTTCCATCCACTGAAGAAATGGAAGGGCTCAATCCATTTTCACCTTTTCCTCCAGAGACAGCAATTGCAGTTCAACAACCACATTCGACTAAGATGAGGTGTAGCCAAACACAAGCGAGCAGCGACTCAACGGGCACGGGCATAACCCAACCCCCCGACCGTCAAAGAGGGTCGTGTCCGATGTATGACAACACTTCATCAAATCAAAATGGCCAAAGACAAATGGGGAGGGAGAAGAATCGTGTGGGGTATGTAACTTCTGTGGAACCATTATTGGCGCTGAGAAGGGGACTTCAACGATGCGACGACACTTGGAGAAGAAGCACCCCCAAATAATGCAGCTGTATGGTACATCTTCAACCAGATCAGGTAGGCAAATTCAAACTCAACTTAATTTTAGTCTACAATCCTCAACTCTCTACACATGGCAATATAATGCACATGTTGCACGAGAGGAAATAGCAAGATTCATAGTTGCTAAGGACTCTCCCATTTGTTTATCTAAAAATCCTTATTTTATTCACATGATTAAAATTGCATTTTGTCCAGCATATACCCCTACTAGTAGAAGTACAAGTAGAAGAAATATACTAAAACTTTATAACAAAATAAATAATAAACTTAAAAACAAATTTCAAAATTTTAGGAATATACCTATTGCACTTAAATTAGATATATGGGCTTGTAGATCAAAAACAGATTTTTTAACTATCATAATACATTTCTTATATCATAATTGGGGTTTACAGCAAAAATTGATGGGTTTTAAACCATTATATGAAAAACATAGTGTTGACACTATTTATTTTACAATTCTTGAAGTTTTGCAAGAATATCTATTAACTGATAGAGTTGTAGTGCTAATACTTGATAATGCAGTTGCTAACACTACGACAATCTCTTTATTTGAAAAGAGACTGCATCCGCGTGGTGAAGACAAATTTTTTCACCAGAGATGTGTTTGCCACATCATCAATTTGATTGTTAAAGTAGGTTTAGATGCTATACATTCGAAGATGGAGAGGGTGCGCGTAGCTATTGGATTTATCATCGACGGTAGCAATAAAAGATGGCAAGAGTACGTCAAATATTGTAAGCAAGAGGACCCACCAGTTCAACCTTTGAAGTTATCTACGGACATGCCTATCCGTTGGAACTCCACTTACTTGATGTTGGAAAAACTTTGCCAACTGCAAGACAAATTACATATTTCGTCAACCAGAAGAACTATCCAGAGGAAGTTGTTAGCTATGATGATTGGGCGTTTGTGAGCTTTTTTATTCATTTCTTAAAAAAATTTATGATTCCACTAATACATTAAGTGACATTTATTATCCGACTACTAATTTAGCGTTAGATATTTTACTTCAAATTTCTAAAACTTTTGCTAAATATTGATATAATGACGTTTAAATGGAAATTATTTCAAAGATGGAAGAAAAATATGAGAAATATTGGTTAGATATTCCATTCTTATATGTAGGGGTGCAATCGAACCGAGTAGCTCGTGAGCTACTCGAATTCGACTCGTGACGAACTTAGCCTCGACTTGTCAGAAAACAAGTAGTTCATGAGTTTGAGCTCATCTTCAAGCTCGTGAAAAATGTCGAGCTTTTCGGGCTTGATTCAAACTGCTTGCGAGCTTCTGAGAAACTTGAGATGTCATTCAAGTAGGAAAGCTCATGAGATCGATCAGTAAGGCAAAGCTCGCATATTCATATTTGCCCTAAAATCTGAAATAAAGTCATTCGGCTGAAAATAGAGACATTCAGCTACTCACCTCTGCCAAAACACACCGCAAGATCTGAGACACCACCATTGTCCAGCCTTCATTTAGCTACCACTGACCAGCAACCAGCTTCAACTACTACCGTCCACCGTCTTCTTCCCTTCTTCACTTCTATTTTGTTATTTTGTTAATGTTATGTAGGTAAGCAAATTGAGCCTACTACTATTGTTGAGTTTATTGAAACTTCTTTAGTTTTCTTATTTGGTTGCTTCCCTTCTTCATTTCTTATTATGTATATGTTTCAGGGGAACTAAGATCAATTAGAAGCATTATCTAAGAAGCTCAAGGCAAAAACTGTTAGAACAGAGGCTCCTTCTCAGTCTATTACTGCCACAAGGTACAGTTTCCTTCATATTTATGTTGCTTGAAGATATTGGTAGCTACCGATATATCTAGGAAAGTTCATACCTGTTTGGGAGAAACCAGTACTCTTCGTTAACCCGGATGGTGAATTGGATTTGGGTTTTATAAAAGGCATCAAACTCTTGTTCTGTCTTCTAAACTGGTTCTTTCTAAATGATTGTAATGATTAGTATACTTGCTTTCATATAGAAGCTAGGTATTTGAGTTTGAGTTGCGAGTGTGTTCTATGATTACTTTTGAGTTAGAGATTCTGCTGAAAACTTTCTTATATGATGATGGCATCTTTATCCAAACTAATTAACTTTGTAGAGGTCTTAAAGCTTGATGATGATGGGATCTTTGTAATTATGATCATAAAGTGTCAACTTTTTTTCAAGTTATTCAGCTTTAACTGCTTTGAACGATTATGATCCACAAAGTGTTCTACCCATTTTAGCTTTTCTTCAGTTTAAAGTTGACTGAGATTCAACTTTGGATTGTTCTACCCATTTCAGCTTTTCTTGCTCACTATGTTGGATGCTTCAGTTTAAAGTTGATTGAGATTCAACTTTGGATTGTTCTACCTATTTCAGCTTTTCTTGGTCATTGTGTTGGATGCTAAAGTTTGACGTGGAAATAGAAATACATACATAAAGCTAGCATAGTATCCCAGACAGAGATGGAGATAGGAAAGGCATGTGAAGAAATTACAGAATTAGAGCTAAAAGAACAAAAAGTTTTGCTAGTTGTGATGAATAAGTTGCCTCCATAATTAGTACTTCCTTCTTTTAATGACTTTTTTGTAGTTACTTTTCTTTTTTATTCTTTTTAATAACTTTGTGTAGTTGCTCTACGCTTAACCTTTTGATCCATAAAAGCAGGTGCTTTCAAAAATCCTTCATATCAGCTCCTATTTTATGTATAATAATAATGTATCTAAATTGAATTAATGTTTTAATTATGGTATTGTATTAATTAATCAAGCTCTGGCCCTGCTAGTCTTTTCTCTAACTGTAACCTATATTTTCTTCCGCCAACTTTGTAATGATATTGAGTTGGTAAGACTAGAGGTATCTTCTCTTCCGCTAAAGGATCCCCACTGCCATATGATTTTCATATTTTGATTTAGACAACTTAGTTTTAATGATCAGAAAGAATCTAACTCTTTCTACTGCCAGTTTACCTTAGATGTTTGTTTTTGCTAATCTACTAGTTCCTCTTGTTTTTGCTTTTCCCTACACATCAACACTTGGTAACAAACTCTATAGTTCAGTGCAGATTTCATTTTTGTTTGTGGGGACTGAAATATTATTTTAATTGGCTTCGTTGGGTTTCAGTCATCTGTAGTTCTATAGTTTGCTAGAATGGTTTTTGGCTTACTGTTTCTGACTTTATATTCTTTTTGTAGAGGGATTTGTTTATTCCAATGGAGCATATGTCATTCCCCCCCAATCGAAGCCACCCTTCCACTTCACGAATGCAACTAGTAGAAGATATCTTTGAAACCTGGTCTGATGACGATGCCACACCCGCAGGCACACCCGGTGATGGTGTTAATGCTTCTACCCCTCGTACTAACGAGGAGCAAGTTAATCATTTTCAGAGGAAAAAGAGACCAAAGACATCAGCGGTTTGGAATGAATTTAAAGAGGTAGTTCTACCGGATGGTTCTACAAAGGGAGAGTGTATTCATTGTAAGGCAAAGCTCGCAATAACGGAGACCAAGAGCACAACTCAGTTTGCAAGACATTTGAAATCATGTTTGAAGCAAATAGGTAGTCAGAGCCAAACACAATTGTTTTTTCGGCCAGCTAGTTTAACAGATGAAATCTCAATGTAATCTGCACTTGCATTTTTAGATGCTAAGTTTGATATGAACAAGATGCGGGAACTAGCTGCTAACTGGGTGCTCATGCACGAGCATCCATTTACAGTTGTGGGGGAGGAGGGTTTTAATATGATGCAAAAATGTGGCATGCCACTATGGGAGAAGATAACACGTACTGCTTTGAAACAACATTGTGTGACTGTGTATGAGATACAAAAGAAGAAGTTGGTTAATTTGCTTAAGAGTATTAACAAGATTAGTTTGACAACTGATATATGGAATTCTTCTAATCAGAAGCTTGAGTACATGGTTCTCACTGGACATTTTATTGATAATGATTGGAAGTTGCAGAAGTGTGTGCTCAATTTTGTTCATATACCGGCTCCTCGACCTGGTGTTGAGATTGTTGCTGTTATTCATAAGTGTTTAATTGAATGGGGAATTGAGAACAAGGTGTTCAGTATCTCGGTTGACAATGCTTCAAGTAATGACGCGGCAATCAAGATTTTAAGAGAGAATTTAGGAAGAAACAAGAAGCTAATGTGTGGTGGGAGGTTGTTTCATGTGCGGTGCGCAGCACACATATTGAATCTCATGGTTCAGGATGAGCTTTCCCAAATTAAGCCCATCATTCAAGACATGCGTGACTGTATTTTGTATGTCAAGCAATCAGAGACTAGAGTAATTATGTTTTTAGAGATTGTTCATATGTTGCAGTTGCCCAAGCGGAAACTCATACTTGATTGTAAAACGAGGTGGAATTCTACTTATGAGATGTTGGCACTTGCAATTCAGTATAGAGATGTGTTTCCAATGTTAGTTCAATTGGATAATAACTTTACTTGTGCCCTAATAGATGAAGATTGGGAAAAACTTGAGAAAGTGTGTGAGATTTTGGAAGTCTTCAACTTGGCAACTAATGTCATATCGGGGAGTGAGTTCCCCACTTTTAACTTATTTTTGTAAGAAATTGTTGACATAAAAGAGTTGCTAGATGAAAAGTGTTCTAATGATGATGATTTCATTCGATCAATGGTGGGAAAGATGAAAGAAAAGTTTGACAAGTATCAGAGCGTTGATGTTTCTAACTTCCAATGGCAAGATTGGCAAGAAGAGGAAGAAAATGATTCCATGGAAGAAGATGATGACGCCAAAAGAGAAGAGGAAGACGAAGAATGAAGCCTGAAACACTTGTTTTGTATTTTCTGTTTTCAATTGTTCTTGTTTCTGTTTTATACGCAAGAACTAATTTTCTTTTCTTTTTAGATTGTTAATTGTTGTTTGAATTTTCTAGTTTAGTTTGTAAGGGTGAGATTAGGTTGTAATTTTTCATATTATTCCGTGGAAATTTCTAACACAGTGGGCACCATAGAATTGCATTTGTTTTACAGATGATGATAATGAGGAAACCAAGGAATGGGTGTGCATGATGTTGAACGAAAATCAGCCTTCACGAAGTAATCAGGGAACTATCTCGTACCCTTTAATTGTGTTTTTCTATTCCTGAATTATGCATGATGTGACATTGGGGACAATGTCATTTTTAGTTTGGGGGTGGGAAAATTTGAAATTTTGTTTTGTGTTTAGGTTTTTTTTTATGTTTTGTATTGTTGTTGCCAATGATGAATTGCATAAGTCTATGATGAGAATATGATTGTTGAGATTTTATTTATGGAAAATGTTAAGCATTGCTTCAAGTTTGGGTTGGTTGATTAATTTTTCCTTTCTAGAGGTATGTTGAGTGGTTCAACCATCATTTTCATTTTTTTTCGACATGCTTAGAAACTTTGTATGTGGTTAGATGAAGTCTTGATAATGTGGGTGGACTCTAGAACTTAGTTAAGAAGTGTTTGAGGCAAAATTCTAGGAATATACATTATTGAGGAAGTGATTTAGGCAGTTTTTCGGAACGTTTGAACCTTTCCAGCCGACCATGAAATTTTTTCCCTAGTCACCCATTGGAGCCTTATGAAATCATCACTGTCCTATTCTTCCTGTTCAACTAAAAATGCCCAAACATTTCACCTAAACACGTGTCACAACCTTTAAAAGAATTCTGAACCTAAGGCAAACACAAAAGAGTTTGAAAAGTTGTGTGAGATTTTGACGAACCAAAATAACAAGTTTGGGGGTCGCAAGAAGGGCAAGAAGAAGGGGTAATTAACCTTAATAAATGGATGTTGTTTCTTTTTTTTTAAAAAAAAATGAAATAAAGATAAAAAGAAATAGAAATTGAGAGTTTCATCTCAGAATAAAAAAAATAATAATAAGAATTACACATGTTGAGGTTTATAAAATGGTTGACACCATGATCGGTGGTTGAGAAAGAAAGCGAAGATTGATGTTGTTCTTAGTGTTTGCTTAAAGGAAACCGAGTTCTCTTACTTTGTTTATCTTATCCTTTTCTTTGGAGCCCACTAACCGAGCCTAACGTTACAAGCTTGTAAAGACTTTTTGATCCTTAGTGATGTCTAGTTCTCATTAGTGGAGAGTAGTTTGATACTTAGGCTTATGGAGTCAACCACCATTTGATAAACTTTACATTTCTGCCTAAAATAATCCGGAAAGTCGGAAGGTGGACTGAAGTAGGGATTACCTACTTAGGAGACCGATAGAGAAAAATAGTCAATCAACTTACAACTTCTTGGAGTGTTAAGCATTTTCCAGTAATAATGTTTCAACAATTTTTGAGACTTGTATAAATTCTAGGTAGTTCTTTGTGTTTGATTTTGATTCTAATTTCTCTCATTTCATTTTCAATTTTGTTGTCTTTTTCCATTTGTTAGTTGTTTTCTTTTAGTCGTATTTTGTACCTGATGCTCGGGGATGAGCATATCTTAAGTTTAGGGGTATTTGATAATCCTAGGATTATACTGTTTTGTTTAGGCTTTTTGGCCGGATTTTGGATACTTCTTATTTCTTTTTCGCCTGAATTACAACTTAATTGCATATATTTTATGTTTTAGGCCAAAACGTGCAGTTAGAGCAAATAATGAGCGGAATTGAGTTTCTGGACCCAGAAGCAAGCGAATCTCACAATTCGGGGAAGTTCTGAAGCGGATTTGATGCACTATGAAGCTTGTTCCTATTGGAGAGCACCAAAGATTGAAGATTCAAGCAAGGAAGCAAGTGGAGGGCAGTTCTGTAATTTTAGAATTGTTTAAAAAAGTTCACCGCAGCGAAGTACTTTTCGCCTCACCGCAGCGATAAACTCTCAGGATAGATTTAGAATTTTAAACCAACTCGTTGCCACGGCGAAGAATATTCTTCGCCGCGGCAAAGTCTGCAAGTTTCAGTTTTTCAAAACTGTGTGTTTTATTTTAGGCGAAAGTTTTAGGTTTCTTTTGGACCGACTATATAAGTGAGACTTAGCCATTTTAGAAAGAGTTCGACATTTTTGTGAGAAAGAAGAGAAGATTGGAGATTGAACTCTTTGGAATCATCAAATAGGGAAGATTTTGTTCTCTTTTCTTAATTCCAACATGTTGAATGCATTGTTTACTATTTTTATTTCTATTTGTGTTAATTTTAGTATGAACTAACTTGTTTTGGGTTAGGGTTTTGATGTAATTGGGATTTTTATGTTTAATCAATAAATTGATGTTGCCTTTACATTCTATTGCATGGATTGTGTGATTATTCTTGTTCTTATTGAATTTACTTGTTGAACATGATGAGACTGAGAAGTGAATCATGTATTAGCTTCTTAGGGTAATTGCCATTGTTGTATTGAACGCTGGAGATAGGTTTGAGAATCAATGAAATCAATTTAGGATTCCATTTAGCTTAACGAACTTGAACTATTAACCTTCAACTTGTTGGGTGCGGAAGCTTAATAAGGAAAAGTAGGAACACATAGCCTGAGAATGCATGTTTTACACATTAAGGAGTAGGATTTATAATCCGTGCATGTGAGTGTAGAGGTAGCATAATTCGTAGATTAATTCATAAAATCCTAGTGAAGTCAAAACCCTAACCGTTTGTTTTAATTGATATTTCTCTTAAATTAACTTTGCTGTCTTTAATTAGTTTTCACTTTAGCTTAATTTTCTCCCGCAAATCCAAACATTTTTCGGTTTCTCCAACTTGACAAACAACTAGGAAAATCAGCGCTTAACAAACAATCCTTGTGGGAACGATACTCTACTTATCACTTTATTACTTTTTGTGACTAGTGCACTTGCTACACATTGCATGTTGTAATTTCAACGCATGAGTGATTTCTGAATTGGATGTTGAAAGCCAATTAGTGACGACGGAAAAGTTGGCATATAACAATTTGCTTTTTAGTTTATCCAATAAATTGTGATACCAATAACTCCTTATAAAAAGTGTTAGTTATTTCAAAACATCATTAAATGTTTATAAAATTATTATTGACATGTTTTTTATTAAAATAGAAAACCCTTTTCATGTTACACATATTAGTAAGTTCAAGAAATTTAATAGAAAAGATGTTACCTTTTTTCAGCCTCAAATGTTTTTTACTTAATTATTTTGTTTGAGTTTTGTTGCATTTTTGTTTTCTAAAGTAAAGGAAATGGTATTGTTGTCACTCACATATTGATGATGAAAAATTAGCCTGGCAGAAGGCTATTGATGAATGGCTTCCTATTACTTCTTTAAGAAATGCAAAATGGTAGTATTCAGCTTTCCACAATATTACAGTGCTTTGTTTACTTCTTGCGGCCTGCCCCCAGAAAGAGAAGATGATTGAAACATGCTTTTGGGACTCTGAAAGTGAATGTTTTGGGTTATGTCTATAGCTCCTATTTGTAATATATCTTTATATTGGTTTTTATGTGACACATTAAATGATATTGCTTATGGGATAATTCAGACGCATTTTTCAGTAACATGATTTCTATTGCAAAGACTGACTAGATATGTATCTTATGGCCCTAATCTTTTAAGTCTACATATTATCATGGATCTTCCAAAATCTGCTATAGATATTTTTTTATCCAATAATTCTTAGTTTAAACCATAGTTGTTTGCTACCAATTTCAAGAGCGATGGAAGAAAAACCATGCAACCTTTATTCGTTCAAGTAACAATATTTTCAAGGCATTAACCATATTGTCTTTATTTAATTGGTGAACTTATGTGGAAAAGAATGACTGATTCTTTATTTAATTTAGTTGATCTTCTATCAAGTTTTTCGGCTTAGTTATCCAAGCATAAGCTGGTTTGTTTTTCAGTTTGACAAATCTATATAATATTTTGCTCAATAGAAAACGCATGGCTCGAGCTCGAGCTCGGCTCGACTCGGCTCGTTTAATATATAATCAAGTCGAGCCGAGCCAAGCTCGAGCCATGCGTTTTCTTAGACGAGCCGAGCTCGAGCTCGTGAGCCAAAGCTCGAGCTTGAGCCCTTCGCTAATGCATCCGAGCCGAGCTCGAGCCAACCACTACTCGGCTCGACTTGGCTCGTATGCACCCCTACTTATATGGATTAGGTCTTGGTGTAGATCCTATGTTTAAATTATGCGTAGTTAACTGTATAATTATTGAGATAGACCAACATTTAGGACATGATTATACGTTTTATTTGACTGACTTTAAGCAAAAATTGGAAAGCCTTTTTTCTTTATATTAGAATAGGTACAATGGAAGTGGAAGTGGAACGTCCAGGAGAGACAATCAGGACCCTGATGCAGACCTCCATCAAGGATCGAGCAAGTGGACGTATATGGAACATGGCGGAAGTAACAGCTCCAGCTCGTACATACATGGACCATATGAGCTGAATCACTACCTGCAAATGGACATGTCCTACATGATGATGAAGGAGAAACGTGAGATGGATTTGCTTCAATGGTGGAACCAACATGAAAGTCAATTCCCCATTGTAGCCCAAATGGCACGTGACATTTTATCTATGCCGGTTTCTACAATTGCATCTGAGTCAGCATTTTCAACGAGTGGCCGGATTGTTGAAGACAAAAGTTGCTCTTTAACCGATG